GCTTAGCGCAGACCTTGTTTTACTCATATTTTGGAAGTCAACATGGCGAATTAGTCTTCTGGGTTTTGATGTCATGGCTGCAGCACTGTATTACACATTCTAATATTGATCAATAAACTTTTTAGCCTTCAGATAAAATAAACATCAGTAAGGCACATATCTTTACATACAGTAATTTGTGTCTACAAAAATGGATGTGGTAATTGAAAATTATTAACCTACCAACACAACCTATTTCAATAAATGTAAATGCAAAATCAAATACTGTATAAGTGCAGTTATGACACAATAAGCACAATGCACAGAACTATTTCAAATGTCTATTTAAGGATATAAACGGCTGATTAAATTAAACACCTTATAACAATAATTTCAAGTCAGCATCTCTTAAAGGAACACTTCACTCCAAAGAAATTAAGTAATGATTTACCTTCGTGCTCAGTATGACTAATTTCACATGTGTAACACAAAAGGGAATGATTATCAGAATGAGAGACTTAGCAACCTTTCATCTTTTACTATATGTGACCCTGGACCACAAAACCAGTCATAAGGGTCAATTTTTCGTAATTGAGATTGATGTATGGTTTGTTAGGATAGGACAATATTTGGTCGAGATACAACTATTTGAAAATCTGGAATCTGAGGGTGCAAAAAATAATATCCTAATGATTTTTGGCATAAAAGAAAAATCAATAATTTTGACCCATACAATGTATTTTTGGCTATTGCTACAAATATACCCCAGCGACTTAAGACTGCTTTTGTGGTCCAGGTTCACATATGGAAAACAGTAAAGTAAGCAGTGACTGAAGCTGTCAGCTTTGAATTCCACAGATGATTACGAAATGTAATGATCTTTTTTATAAAGATTCATTAACTATTTTCGATTAAATAAACTGTTCACAAAATAATCCGGTAACATGAACCAGTAATGCACAGCATTATCTTACCTTCATATTTTCCTTCCCATCCCAATGGTTTTCTGATAGGTCACGGTCTTCCTGTAACACCGGATGATTCAGCCGCTCTCAGTGTCATGTGCATCAAGAGGTGTTTAAACAATTTATAGAGTTGTTGCTGCGTGACGCTGGATAAGTCACTCCCTTCCTAATTAAAGAATAACTTTTCTTTTCCAGCACAGTGTGCTTGTACTGAACAGTGCAAACACAGTTTCATACTGAAGCCTGCCCTTTTACTTAATCAGAAAAAACAACCCTTAATGTTCCTATTAGACTTTTTATATTATCTACACCAATTTAAGCGTACATCAGTTACGTTTTTGCTATATGTTTTCGCTATCATACAGACAACATTAGAAACTGATGTTTGCATGCAACATGCATTTTTTTTTTTAAACCATGACTGAACAAATTAGTCACGTTTTCCCCATTGCACAAGCTTAAATTTTTCCTGAAATATTTAGATCTATGCTGGGCATTGTTTCTGAAAACAAATAAGGCTTAATGCACATGAAACTCAAACATGCCCGAGGTGACTACAGACTGGAATGGTACACAAACTATTAAACAAATCAGGTGAATGAAACTGCTTTAATTGTACCTTGAGGCTGGACATTATGTGTATATGGAGACACTCACACATACACAACAAAAGCAGCAGTATCTGAGCAAACAAAACAGCTTCAGTTTCATTTATCTGTAATTTCCATCACATGGCCAGAGTTCGTCAAAAAACACGTGATGACGTACACAAACACACCCTCATTTTACTCAACTTCGATGACTGATTTACTTGATTGCATACGAGTCTTAACAGCAGCAATACAATCATAATTGTTTAGAAACTATATTCAGAAACTACTGCGTCAGCAATTTCCAAATTCAATACCTGATCAGAAACTTGCAAGAGACGGAAACTTCACATATCCTCAGGAGACACTAAATTGCTATAGACGGTGATAAACAACAACTTATTCTGATGTGTTGCCAACATAAATAATCTCTTGGATGCATTCTTAGTTTCCCTCAGTTGCAAAAATGACAGAGACGCCTTCTTACGAACTTATGCTTTAATCTTATTTTAAATGTTTTTCAGTAATCAGTTAGCAGCATATAGCTTAGACATTTCTCTTTCAGGTCACTGAAAAACAAACCAACAAATCTGAGTCAGTGACACTTGAAATTCATCTAAACTACCAACGTGAATGAATCATATCCTATAAAGTGCAGTGTAAATGTGGATACAGCCATGGTTTTTGTTTTTGTGAGATTCAGACCAGCTAAATAACAGCCAAGACCAGACTAAATGACTAGATTGTACCATTGCTGGTTACAAATAAGGTATGTTTTGACAGTTTAATGCTGGTTTTAGCTTAACCACTCGGCTAGCTGGTCTATCGGCAACAACAACCCTCTTAATCAGCTTGTGTCAGAGTAACATACCACTAATGGCAATCTAAAAAAAAAAAAAAGTCTTTACGCTGGTCCAAGTTGTTGTCTTTTTCAGCAGGCAGATAGACTTCATGATCAAAAGTATGTGGACACCTCTTTACAATAAATGTGTTTGGCTAGTCAAATAACTCCATACAGTAACAGTCTGGAGATTGTTGAACAGCTTTGGACGATGCTTTTTCAGTTTCAGCATGACAAAGTCCTTGTGCACAAAGCAGGTGACTGCGATTCTGCCAAGTAGGGCATGTTCCTTCCTGGATCAACATCAGCCAATCAGATTTAAGGAATATGTAAAAGGGTTTGGCTTAGGACTGGAGCTTAAGCAACATTCTTATCAACTTCCCTCTGGTTTTAGCCATAATTTTTGATAAAGGTTGGTTTTAGGAATAGGGATAAGACTTCTTGTTCTAGGATCAACAGAAGATGATCAACAGAACTAGACATTTTATGAAGAACGTACTGACTATTAATGCCCATGCTTCTGAAATTAAACAATCAACAAGCACGTATGGGTGCTCACATACTTTTGTACACGTAGTGTATGTGGGATGCTGTTATATGCTCAGAAGTTTATTGATAAGGAAAACTGATAAGGTGAGTCTGATATGACCTCTTTAGACAGTGTGGCCAGAGAATGAGATATTCTCCAAATGCAGTCATGATTGGACGCCTCACGGCTCTGGCATCAAGAGTGTCCTTAGCCAGAGAGCTCAGTGTAGCAATACAGTGCACCCTTAATTTACAGAGAAAAGAAGCTCAGGAAAAAAATCTGTAGATGGAAAAATTTCTATACAAGTTCTTTGTGCATTTTTCTTTTTTTTGTACTTGTTACCTTGCACTTTTTGCTAGAAAATGTTTATTTAATATTTATTCAATTTTTTTAAGGTATCTAATATTTTGATACTTAATTTCCATGATCTAAAAAATGTACTCACGATTGCTGTCCTGCGGCAAAACACGAGGGCAGTTGCGGTTTTTAGATCCATTCTGAGTGAGCGCACCATGAGCGCGTCAGTGAATGATGAAATATTTCCGTAAATGACTTGATCCTGCCAGAAGAATTGCGTGAAACTTATTATGTCTGTTCCGTCTGCATCATCTCAGTGAGGTTTTATACATGCACAGTAAGGCGAATGTAACACTTTCAGACATTTCAGTGTGGATGATAGCTTTGGAAAAATGCCTTGTTTGCTTCATGGTTACAAAATGGCATCAACATCTGTTTATGTTATAACGTCATTTAACAAACTTTAGCCACGAAACCTGCCTTAGCGGCTTCACCTGAAAATGAATTAATTTGCAACACGGCCTGTGCCGCTAGCGGAGGCAGCCGCGAGTTAGCGTCTGCTACGAATCATTTAACAAACTTTAGCCACAAAACCTGCTTTTAGCGACTTCACCAGAAATTAATTAATTTGCAACACAGCCTGCGCCGCTAGCGGAGGCAACCTCGAGCTTGCGTCTGCTACGAGAGTTGGAGGCCCGGCTGCATACGGCACTGCGGCCGGAAGAGCCGCGGTGAAAGGCTAAGCCAAAGAGGGAAGCGAGTGAGGCATGAGAAATGGGACGCGGCCCAGGCACGGTGAGTTGGAATTAATCAACGTTTGCCTCGGACTTAAATACTGTCCACTTTCCGATCGGAGGAGTTGCTGGTACAGCCGAATGATACGAGGATGCCGGGGAAGTTGGAAGTCTCGCCAGTGGAGGCGAGGTTAAGCCTCTGCGTCGTGGAGAGCGTGTGGCTGGTCGAGAAGAGCGGCGGCCGCTTTGAAGCCTGGTGCTCGTTGGCCGTGTCTGGCGGAGAAAGAGGGATCATGGGGCCGGCAAATTGCGGAGGAGGATCTGAAAAATCCCCAGTATCGGTCTCGTCGTTGGACGGGAAATAATTGGGTCTGTGATAAAAAGGCAAAAGGAGCGAACCGAATGCTGAAATACAGTAGAGACAATGAAGGTAAGATGGCTTGGGCTATTTATAGAAGTTCTCTCTCGAGCTGATAGGATAGATGGTGTAATTGCTGATGATGAATTGGCCGGGTTAATTATCTGAACGTGCTCCTCCCGAACTTTGTTAATAAAACATGTGCTTGTACTTTTCATGAATGCGTCTCAATAGATAATTGCATCTGCTAAATAATTAAATGTTATTCAAGTAAGCTGGATGTGTAGCTCAAGAAACATCCTGTTGACAAACTCTACAAGAACAAGAACACTCTTAAAAATAAAGGTGCTTAAAAGGCTCTTCACAGCGATGCCATAGAAGAACCATTTTTGGTTCCACAAAGAACCATTCAGTCAAAGGTTCTTTAAAGAACCATCTCTTTCTTAGCTTTTTATAATCTGAAGAACCTTCTTTCGCCACAAAGAAGCTTTTGTGAAACAGAAAGGTTCTTCAGATGTTAAAGGATCTTTATGGAACCATTTAGACAAAAAAAGGTTCTTCTATGGCATCGTGAAGCACCTTTATTTTTAAGAGTGAAGGTGTCCAAAAAACATAGGAAAACTGGATGTTTATGTGCTGTGCTTCACAGAAAACAACTCAACAGATGAAATAATAATAAGCATTATTCAATGGCATCATCATCTTACCTTCCGTCTCTCCTCGGCGGCCTCCAGCCTCCTCTGTAGTTCCCCCAGTGAAGGCTCCTTCTTCTGGGGCGGCAGTGCCAGAGTCTGGGGTCTCTCTGGAGATGGCTCAGTCGGACTCTTCAAGATGACCTCAAATGCTTGGCCAGAAGCACGCTTATTCAGCGACTTCACCTCCATATCTGTGGAGGAATGATGATTAGGACAAAGACTTTGTGATGCATAAACTTAAACCTAAATATTCTGGTCGTAAGGCCTCCAATCATTGGCTGTTTGACTGTTGAAGCTCCTACCTTCAAACTGACCGAAGGTGTTGGGAAGAGGCTGTGAATACAAACAGGAGCAGAGGAGAGACAACACCGACATCTCTCTAAGCTTCTCAGAGTAGGCTGCCAGAGAAAGAGAGAAATCTTGTTTGAATACAGTAAATATGACAGTAAATCAGTGATGCATATGCATGCAGTGAACTAACCAGAACTTTACATGCAATGGGTAAAGTGTAGACACCTTTGGTCTACGACATTCTATTATTTTAGACACCAGTTATTACTTAGCATACTATTTAGGACAGTGTACAGTTTGGAGAGTCACAGAATGTTTAAATATTTTATATTATTTGTTTATCAAGTAAATGCATCTTGATTTAAGAATCTTTTAGACATTTGCAGGAAAACAAGACAAAAACTGAGGAAGAATGTCACTTTTTTTCAGTGATGATTTAAAAAGTAATGGAGATTGGTTGCAAGTTTTGCTAATGCAACTTATTTTTTATAAAATCTGCAGAAACCCTGTAAAAGTTCAGTAGACGTTTCAAAATGTCTACTGAAAACATGACTAAATAATACGTTAATTATTGGAAATGTGCTGTTATTGGTAAATGGGAAGGGAGAGTCTGTATTAAAGCAATATTTTACAGAATCAGATGTAAAGGCATTTCCCTGAACTGACCAGTATTGCGTCATGAAATATTTTATAAGGGATGCATAAACGCAAGCATGTTACTGGGCTGCATTTGGCATCAAACCCCACCCTAAATCTGATTCATGCATTATTGATCCAGTTAACACAGCACAAGACATGTCAGCCAAATAATGCACTGTGTGAACTTGTGTGAATCTGAGCTAAGTGTCATGATGATCACTTAGTAAAGCAACGTCATATTACCGCTCCTCAATAAGATGCATGATTATTTTGAGGAATCCCAAATCACCAACACAAAGCAAATGCATGCATGCAAAAGGGACAGACTTAAAAAATGTTAGTGTTTATTACATCAGCTAATGGTGTTTGTGTGCATCGGAGCACGTTTATTTATTACCCATGAGCTCAACAGAAAGGTGACTTTGCAAGAAAGCTGAGATAGCAAAGATGACTCAAATCCTGCTTTGTCTGCTGGACATTAGAGCAAAGCACACAACTTACTGCTGTTATTTATAGCAGATCTACAGCTATTTCAGATGCAAAACACAATGCAAACTAATTTCACCAATGTTGCAGAGCAGTTCTGCTCATCGGCTGCTCAAGGTTCTTTCTAAGGTCTTATCAAAGTCAATATGAGATGATCAGACTATAGTGGATGACTGATTCCTGACTGTATGTGTTTGAATGCGATCCAGACAGTCACATCTACAATATTGCGCCACATTTTGCAGCACTGCTACCCTCCAAATGAACCTGTGTTTTTTATAGCCCAACATCTGCAGTGTTGAGCATCACTCCAATGCACAATAACAGTCAACATTTGTTCAAACAGAAACTCCCTGTATTAAAAGGATCTATTCATTAATGGCATTATCCCTTAGATAGCATAGAGCATGCATGCTTGACAAAGGACATGTTCATCAGTGCCAATGTCACGCTAAAAGACGTGATTCTGCAGCAGGTCGTGCCATCTCATGCAATAACTCGTGCTAAAATCTCCCTAGTGTCTCAGCTTAATTTCTAAAGACAGAGATTATGGGTCTTACCTGAAACTGTGCAATGCACAATAACAGTCAACAGTTGTTCAAACAGAAACTCCCTGTATTAAAAGGATCTATTCATTAATGGCATTATTATCCCTTAGATAGCATAGAGCATGCATGCTTGACAAAGGACATGTTCATCAGTGCCAATGTCACGCTAAAAGACGTGATTCTGCAGCAGGTCGTGCCATCTCATGCAATAACTCGTGCTAAAATCTCCCTAGTGTCTCAGCTTAATTTCTAAAGACAGAGATTATGGGTCTTACCTGAAACTGTGCTGTCCATAGTGCTGCCGGAGGAAGACGGATGGATGCTGAGCGGAGAGATGAACGGAGTGAAGCGCTAAAGGAGTGACGCACAGCCAGTGGTCTGTATTATCAGGGGAGGAATGATGGATGGGAGGCGGAGGAGGTGAAGGTGGAGAGGGCGAGAGATGAAGAAAGAAATGGCATCGCTGATTTGTTTGCTTGCTTGTTTGCTTGCTTTGATATTTTGTTATATATTTTCTAATCTATTGCTTGTACATTTTGGGTTGCTGTATCTGGTAAATATTTCTAGATATTGTTGTCTATTTAAAAAGAGTATTGTAAGGGATAATGACCGTAAATTAAGATGGAATAAAAGTAGAAAATTGTCACATGCAACAAATAATGATCAAGTCTTGATATATTTTTTGTTATTGGTGTGCAGTAACTAGGGTGTTCAGAGTGCCTTTTTGCATGTTGCTATGCATTTGCTTACTAGTCCAAATTAGGCACTCTTCAGTGGAAGTCTGTGATGTTTAAAATAAAATAAATTAATAAATAAATTTAAAATTAATAAAAAAAAACAAACAATTAAAAAAAAAAGAGAAGAAAAAAGAAAAAGACTTCAAAGTCTGGAATGTATTCATCTGGCAAAAATTAATAAAATTAAAAAACTTTAAAAAAAGTGTAAGTCTGATATTTTTCATCTGGCAAAGATAAATCAACAAACTTCAAATAAATTAAATATAAAATAAATAAATAAAAAAAGAGAATAATAAGATTTTAAAAAATCAAAGTCTTGGACGTTTTAATCTGGCAAAAATAAATCAAGAAAATAGAAAAAGAAAACTAAAAAATGACAAAGATAAATCAACAAAATAAAAAAAAAAAGAAAAGAAAAAAAAATAAATTCAAAGTCTGTGATGTTTTTCATCTGACAAAAATGAATAAAAAATTTCAACAGAAAAAAAACTATTTGCAATGGGTTGAAAAAAAGAGTTTTTTTAGACCGCAAAACATTTTTTTGCGCAGTGTAAGCCAAAGTGCCAGAGTTATTATTCCAGTTCCTTTCCAGATTCACTGATGCACTCTTACACAAGTCTTCATACACAATTCATGCCTCTGCTGAAGGCTTGCGTGCGAAGAGCGGCTCAATTGAGTCTGCTGTCCTAAAACAACTGCACAGGGGAGCAGCCTGATTTAAGCTAGTTTAGATCCTCTCTCAAACACTTGTATATGCACTGAACGCTAAGACTTAGTGTTAGAGATCTGAGCAAAAAAAAAAAAAAACATTAAATATGAGCAATAGTAATATTTAACACATGACATCTGCGTCTCTAAACTGGGAATGTTTGGTCCTAAAGATGTGCATTCAGAGCAGAGAGAGGTGGCACGTTCATCATTATATTGATTATCTTTCACACACGCATACACGTATAATATTCTGCAGGTCAAACAAAAGGTTGAAGTGTCTGAGGTCACAGATGTGATGCTTGCTGCTATAATAACATTCGCTACATGAGCAGCGCTTATTGATCCATTGCTGCCTTCATGCAAAATGCATTCAGCTTAGGCAAAAGTAAATCAATACAACCCCATCCTGACAGAATAAGACGTTTCCTGGATTTGTAAGAGTTTGTAAAACATCTGTCGTGCAAATTAAACTGAGACACAAGGGCTTTCTTTTCCATCTCTGCTCTTTATTATAGAATTGGTGAGCGATTAGAAATCAGGTTTTGATTTGTTGGGTCTTAAAAACAACGCTTCTTGAAACGCCATCTTCATTCTGTTTAGAAATGATTGATTTAATCTGAAGGTGATTTTCAGAGAACATAAAAACTAATCAGAAAACAAAACTAGTGTCAGTTTAGCATAGAAATTAATATCTACAATGTCTGCAGCATCACAGCAAAGATATTGAGTATCACCCAAAAATAATATCATAAGTTACATGTGGTATGATAACTGCATCCACTCTCTGAATTTACAGAAAACACTACACACACACACACACACACACACACTCTCTCTCTCTCTCTCAAATACCCACACACACACGCTCTCTCTCTCACACACACTCTCTCTCTCACACTCTCACACACACACACTCTCTCTCTCTCTCTCTCTCAAATACCCACACACACACGCTCTCTCTCTCACACACACTCTCTCTCTCACACTCTCACACACACACACTCTCTCTCTCTCTCTCTCACACACACACACACACACACACTCTCTCTCTCTCTCTCTCAAATACACACACACACGCTCTCTCTCTCACACACACTCTCTCTCTCACACTCTCACACACACACACACACACTCTCACACACACACACACACACACACACTCACACACACACACACACACACACAGAAGTCGCTCTATGTGATGTCTTTCTGTCTGGGTGGCCGGTGAATGTTCCGGATCACACATTTGACCATCCATTCAATGCCGTCATTCACGCCCTGCCTGAAAAACACAACCATACAGAAAACACACACGGTTTTAATACGCATCAAAACATTTACAGGAATAAGTAATAAAGTAAAAACCAGTTAAAAATAATCAACGATGAATTATGTTTAATAATTTTCATTTAGCATTAAATAACAAAATATACAGCAATATTTACCAAGATGTTTGAAATAAGTCTCTTCTGCTCACCAAGGCTGCATTTATTTGATCAATAATACTGTAAAAATTGTGAAATATTATTACAATCTAAAATAACTGTTTTCTATGTGAATATATATTAAAATGTAATTGATAAAAAATGATCAAAGCTGAATTTTCAGCATCATTACTCCAGTCTTCAGTGTCACATGATCTTCAGAAACCATTCTAATATGCTGATTTGCTGCTCAAGAAACATTTCTGATTATTATCAGCGTTGAAAACAGTTCATATTTGTGTGGAAACTTATTCTAAACTCGTGAAATTGCACATGCAAACCTCTGCGATGACTTCAGAGTCGTGACACGAATGAATCACTGAAGCAGAGCTTTGAGCTGAACTTATTTGCAGAAGTAAAATTCTCAATTCTGTCAGCATTATTATTACAAAGGTTTAAATCTGAAATTATATTAAAATATTTATGTATTAATGCTCTCATACTTAAGATGTGAAGGAAAAAGTGTAAAACTAGAATTGTGGTAATGCTTTAAAAACACTGCAATATTCATGATTCATTTTATACTGCCAACAAAGTATCAAACATATAAAAACAATCGATAACACTTTACGTGAAGCCTTTATATATAATCCATTATAAAATTCATTTTAGTGATATTGCTCATATATATACTGGTCCTGCGCGTTTCCGCCAAAATAAAAGTTGAGAAAAAGCACTGCAATTAGAGATGTGACGTGAATTAATTGCTGAATCTGAGCTTTGAGCTTATTTGCAGAAGTAAAATTCTCAATTCTGTCAGCATTATTATTACAAAGGTTTAAATCTGAAATGGCATTAAAATATTTCTCTTTTAACATTCTCATACGCAAGATGCAAAGGAACAAGTGCAAAACTGGAATTGTGGCAATGCTTTAAAATCACTGCAATATTCATGATTCATTTTACACTGCCAACAAAATATCAGCTAAACAAGTTAAAATATATAAAAACCATCGGTAACACTTTACATAAAACCTTTATATATAATGCATTCTAAAAGTAGCTTATAATGCATTAATTGTGTCTTTATAATGCAGTGTATAAGCTCATGAATGATTGTAACCACAGTTAAAATGCATTATAATGCACTGTTACACCTTTAGAAAGTATATAATGCATTAAAAAAAACACGACAAACCTTCTATTTAAATGCTATTGTGATACATTTAATCTTTGGTTACATCTATTAATGATATGATGCATTACAAGGTGTATTATGAATAGCTTTATAATGCATTATACATAAAGGCTTTAAGTAGAGTGCTACCAAACATTCTATATAAATCACCAACTCATCAGCGATTGATCTTGAGCTGCACACAGTTTTTGTTGTTTTCTGTGCATTTCTCATAACTTCACCGTCATGTTTTTTTGGAGTGCTTGAGCGCAGCAGGGTTTCCACTGAATAATAAATGAGTGAAACGAGGCAGACGTACCCTGATAAAGCACAGCAGGGCTGCACCAGACAGTCTCTTTTACCGATTTTGGGAGCGCAGTCGCTGAAAGCCGTCTTAATGTCGGACACAGACAGACAGTTCTGACGAACACAAGACAAGCAGTGCAATCATTACAACTCAATGTGGAAATGAAGGAGCACAGCACCACCTACAGACCACTGGGAGATGACAGGTGTCCCAGAAGAATGAGATCTTTCCGAGTAGTTTTCTCACACAGATGGTCTGAGTACATACCTCAACGTCCTGTTTGTTCGCCAGCACAAGAAGAGGAACTCCCTCCAAAACTTCACTGCTGATCATCTTCTCTGTATGATGGGAACAAAGTCATTTCACATTAGCCACTGATTCAGGCCTGATCCACGTTCCACCAGATCATCTGACTAGGCCTGCCAAAATACATTTTCTTCTGTTTTGTTCATATTATTTTTCACTAAAAGGCTTCTGAAGGTAAATTTAAGACTTTAACACCAAGCAAAGAAAATGTAAAGAATAAACTGAAGGAAACGCAATGCTTCAATATGTCCTTTAAATGTCTAGTGAGAGCATCAGAATATTAAAAAAATACAACTTCCAGCAGATATCAAGATCTTTTGAATTTATTGTACAAAATACAGCTTGAATAGATCTGCTATTTTACTAACTTTCACTGTTCCTTCTGACTGCACCGCAAAAAAGTGACGCTCTTCCTCAGTATTTTTGTCTTGTTTTCCAGTGCAAATGTCTAAAGATTCATAAATCAATATACATCTACTTGAGAAGCAAAATTACATAAGATAATAAGTATTGTTTTCTGTGAAATTAATCAAAATTAAGTTTATGAGGAGTTCAGGATAAGAGCAAATATCTGCCAATGGAGTCAGAAAATTCAACTTCATTCAAAAGTTTAGCAAGTTTAATTTCCCACTGACAGATATTTGTTTATTTATATGTGAGCCTGGAGCACAAAAGCAGTGTTAAGTCACTGGGGTATATTTGTAGCAATAGCCAACAATACATTGTATGGGTCAAAATGATAGATTTCTCTTTTATGCCAAAAATCATTAGGATATTAAGTAAAGATCATGTTCCATGAAGATATTTTGTAAATTTCCTACCGTAAATATATGTATACATCTCAATTTTGAAAAATTGACACTTAAGACTGGTTTTGCACTCCAGGGTCACATTTATTTTTAACTTTAGATGTTTGTGTCCTAAAACAAGACAATATTGAGGAAGATATTTTTTTTTTGTTTTATTTATTTTGCAGTGCATACGACATTTAATGCCACTCATTTATGAAACGAAGACTGTTGGCTCTGATTTAAGGCCTTTATTTGTGGAAGGGCAAATTAGGACTTTTTTTAAACCTGCAGAAATCATATATAATTATATAAAAAAAATAAAAATAGGCCTATATGATTTACTTTAATTAATTTTGCATATAATATAATATAATGCAGTCTTATTAAACAAACCTGCATTTCATATGAAGGAAGACCTCTGACTATTTTTGTGTACATTATAACAGTGTTTATATCCTTTACTTAAAGAGTTACTTACTTAAACGTCCCTATTTTAGATGGGTTCATTAAATGACAGCACTGGTGATCGTACAGAACTGCATTGATCCCTCGTTGCAGCAAAACTCACCGAAAGCGTTCTTTGACTCGCCCAGTCGCTCCTCATCGGTGGAGTCGATGACATAGATGACACCATGAGATTCTGCATAGTACTGAAACGAGATGAATATAACATTAGAAACAGATTCAATGACCATTCAATGTACTGATCTGATCCCCAGATGCAATGACAGCATGTCACCTTATCCCATAAAGACTGTAGTTCTTCTTGTCCTCCGAGATCCCAAAACATCAGACGAGCTTTTCCCAAATCAATGGTGCCGACTGAAACAGAAACCAGACAAATGAATTAAACCACTGCTCACTCTATTACTGATTTGACTCGGTTTCCCAGCATGCATCACTCACTGTTCAGGCCGACTGTAGTTGTGATCTTCAAAAG